GCTATGCTGATCTCCCGGGGGAGAGGCCTGCTGTGTTGGCTCAGAGTCTGTCTTGCCCCAGTACATAAGCAATTGCCAGGCACAGAGGGGTGCAGTTTGGTATATATGGGTTGTGCCTCTGCTAGGGGTTGCTGTATTGCTCTCTGAAGTCCCACCATGTTGGCATGGGTGGGGGGAATGGCACCACCTCAATCTCTCATCCCTACTGGGTATCTCACACCCCCACTATTCAGGGAACCCTCACTCAATAGCATGGACAGTCAGCTCACCCTGTGCCACAACTCTCCTGCATTTTTTTTTTTTTGGACATGTGACTGGGATTCAAAACCCAAAGTCTTAAAGGACCCAGCACTGCAAGGATCTACCCACATACTCCAGAGTAGAGACTCTCCATGCTTTGTCTGAAATCCTTTGTTCCAGAAAACCAGTCACAGACTTGCATGGTGTGAAGAATGTTTGGTGTAGCACCGCTAAAAGAAGCAAATTTTATATTCCCTCTGGGTGCATCTCTGTCTCCCTGGTGATGAAAAGCATTTTGCTGGTGATTACATGGTCTTTTGTCCTTGGAGAGGCAATACACCCTGTTCCAAAAGTACTCCAGGAAGGGGAATGTTCTCTCCCAACACACCTAGAGATCTCTACACCACACTATGTACCCTGGAGCCAGCTCCCCCTACCCCAGGAGCACCACAGCTCCACTCCAAGGAAAGTCAAATACTTACAAAACCTGAGAGCTTGACCTCTAAACACTGTTTGCAAAAAATACCCTGTAACACCCAGTACTTTTTGTTCCCCGGTCCATGGTCCAGAGAGGTTTTCCTCTCCTGGAAACTAAATGCCACTGTTCTCAACCCTTCTCTCTTTCTCTGCCTTTTGTCTGTCTATGGCAGGGGATCCCTACCCCTCCACAGCACCGCCATTTTTCTCTTCTCTAATTCACTTCCACACACTTCACAGGTACCATGCTATCTCACTTCAACTGTGGAAATTTTTCTGCCACTCTGCAAGTTGACATCCTAGGTGTTTCAAATGATCTGACCTCAATACCACTGTGTTTGAGGATCGAGGAAAGCCCGGGGTCTCCCTACTTTCCTGTCTTTGTAACTCCTCCCATAGCATCATGTCTTGAAGGTCCAGCCATGTTGCCTCAAATGGCAGGATTTCTTCATTGCTGATGGTTGGATAATATTACACACACACACACAAACCACCACCACCACTTCTTTATCCATGATCCACAGATGGATAATTAGGTTGTTCCATGTGTTGGCTATTGTAAATAATGCTGCAATAAACATGGAGGTATATCCATATTTTCAAATTAGTGTTTTTGTTTTCTTCAAATAAATATCTAGAAATGAAATTGCTGGATCATATAGTAATTCTATTTTTAATTTTGGGGAGAACCCCCATATTGTTTTCCATATGGCTGCACTCATTTGCATTCCCACCAACAATAACAGTGTACAATGGTTCCTTTTTATCCACATTCTAACCAGCATTTGTTAATTCTTATCTTTCTGATCTACCGACTCTAACAGGTGTGAGGGGATACCTCACTGTGGAATTCATTTACATTTCCATAGTGATTGATGATGTTGAGCATAATTTCTTGTATCAGTTGGCCACTCATATATCTTCTTCAAATATCTTTTTGAGTTGTTCTCTAACTTTTAATCAGATTGTCTTTTCGCTTTTGAACTTTGAGTTCTTTGTATATTTTGTGTATTAGCCCCCATCAGATACGATTTATAAACATATTGTTTCCCATTCGATAGATTGGATTTTCATTTTGTTCATTGTTAGCTGTGCAGAAACTTTTTAGTTTGATGTTTTGTTTGTTCTTGCTTAGGTTGCTTGTGCTGTGTCATATCCAAAAAATCATTGCTGAGACCCATGTCAAGAACTTTTCCCCCATGTTTTCTCTAAGAGGTTTACAGTTTGAGGTCTTATAATTAAGTCATTCATCCATTTCAAATTAATTTTTGTGAGTGGTATAAGATAGTACATTTTTCAGTCTTTTCTCCATGGAGTATTGGCTCCCTTGTCAAATACTAATTGATTATATTTGAGTTTTAAAGAGCTTCTCAGTTCTGTTCCACTGTTCTCTGTGACTGTTTTTATGTGAGAAACATACTGTTTTGAAGATAATAGCTTTATAGTATAATTTGAAATCATTGTGCTGTTTTCTGCTTTGTTCTTTATTCTCAGGTTGACTTTGCTTATTCAGGATTTTTTGTGAGTACATATAAATTTTAGAATCATTTTTCCACCTCTGTAAAAAATGCCACTGGAATCCTATACCGAATCTATCCTGTTCTGAATCTATAGATTGCTTTTGGTATTATTGACATTCTAGCAATGTTTTTAAAATTAATGAACATAGGATACTTTGTGTTTTCTTTGATTTGTTTGATCATTTTCTTAGAAGAGAGCTCTTACACTTCCTTAAATTTCTTATGTGTTTTATTGTTTCTGATGCTATTGTAAATTAGATCATTTTATTTTTCAGACAATTTATTCCTATATAGAACACTACTGATTTTTCATTGTTTACTGAATTTAAATCTAACAGTTTTGGTGGAGTCAGGATTTTCTTCTGGTCTGATTGCTGTGTCTAGAACTTGAGGTACTATGTTGAATAAGATGGGTGAGAGTGGAAACAGTTTTCTTGTTCCTGATCTCAGAATAAAGGCTTTCAGTCTTTCACCATTGAGTATGATGTTATCTGTGGGCTTATGTGGCCTTTAGATACAGGAAGGAATGTACCTCAGCGTATCAATGTGTTATCATGAAAGGGTGTTCAATTTTTGTCTAATGTTTTTTCTGCATCTTTTGAGATCCTATTTTTTCTTTCCTTGTGTTAATATATTAATTTTGTTGAACCATTCTCCTGTCTCAGGGATATATACTATTTTATCATGGTCAGTGATTATTTTAATGTTGAGCTGAATGCATTTGCTATTTTATTGAGAATTTTGCATGTATATACTAGAGGGATATTGGCCTGTAGTTTCCTTTTGTTGTTGTGTCCTTCTTGTGCTTTTGTATTAAGGTAATGCTGGCCTCATAAAATAACTTTGGGAGTGTTCCCTCTTTCTCAATTTTTTTTGTAGAGTTTGAGGAGGATTGCTCTTAACTCTTCAAACGTTTTGTAAAACTCACCAGAGAAGCCATCCTGTATTGGCATGTTTTTGATTACTGATTCAAATGAAGAAAAACCCATTTCCTTTCTAGTAGTTGGTGTGTGCAGGTCCTTCCTGATTTAGTCTTGGTAGTTGGCATGTTCCAAAGAATTCCTTCTACATTGTCCAGTTTGTTGGCATATAGTTGCTCACAATAGCCTATTAACATTCTTTGTATTTTTGTGGTAGAAGTTGTAATGTCTTCATTACTTTACACTGTTTTTGATTTGGGTGCTTTATCCTTGGTTAGTCTAAAGAGTTGTCAATTTTGCTTCTTTTAAAAGAGGAAGTTTTTAATTTTGTTAACTTTTTCTATTGTTTTCTTGTTCTCTATTTCTGTTGTAATCTTTATTGCTAACCTGGGGCTTGGTTTCACTTGCAAGTTTTCTTATTTCTCAATGTGTGCATTTACTGCAATGAATTTCCCTTTATGACTACTTTTAGTACATCCCTTAAGTTTTGGTATGGTGTGTTTTTATTTTTGGTTGTCTTAAGATGCTTTGTTACTTCCACTTTAACTTCTTCTTTGATCCTTTATGTTCAGTTTAATTTCCATGTATTCATGACTTTTCTAGTATTCTTCTTGTTACTGGTTTCTACTTTATACTATTGTGGTCAGAGAAGATATTTGATATGATTTCAGTCTTCTTGAATTTGCTAGGTCTCATTTTGCGGCTTAACATATACTCTATAATAGAAAATATATCATGTGTGCTTGTGAAGAATAATATTCTGCTGTTAAGATCTATTTATTCTGTAGTGTTCTAATCTGCTCTGTTTGGCAGAACTATCCATTGTTTAGAGTATCAATGACCCCAACTATTCTTGTATTATTTATTTCTCCATTTAGCTCTGTTTTGCTATATGTATTTAGATGCTCTGATGTTGGGTGCATAAATATTTACAATGGTTACACCTTCCTGGAGTGACCCTTTTGTAATAGAATATTTATACATCTTCCTTGTCTCTCTTACTATTTTAAATTATTTTTACTGTTTATTTTTGAGAGAGAGAACGAGCTGGGGAGGGGCAGCGAGAGATGGAGACGCAATCTCAATCAGGCTCCGAACTGTCAGCACAGAGTCCAACACGGGGCTCAAACTCACAAGCCATAAGATCATGACCTGAGCTGAAGTCAGACGCCCAACGGAGTCCCCCAGGCACCCCTTAAGTTTAATGTCTGTTTTGTCTGACCATGTTTTTCTCTCTTTAGCTATGTGTGTTAGTCTCTGTTCATCCTCTTCCCTTTCTTTTAGGATTCTCCAAAGGTGTCTTGTCTATGAATAATTGTTAGTTCTTGTGAAGGAGCAGCAAAGAATAACCTATGTTGCCATCTTAGTGATGACACTCTAGAAATAAGAATTTTAAGTTGGGTCAAAATGTAATTTTTAGCAGTTTGGTAGCCAAATGTAATACACAGCCATATCTAGAGGAAACTTGGAAGTCCCTTGGATCAAGGCACTTCACTAGAGGAGGGGTGGACAGGCTTGTCGACCTTATTGACTAACTTTGGTGCTTTCTAGGAGGGGATGTCAGTAGAGTTAGTTAATAAAGTAGATTTTCTTCACAAAAGGAATAAAGCCTAGCATGGGCTACTGTAGTTGTAGCACTACCCTTTGTACTGCTAAAGCTGAGCTTCTCTCACCTACAGATAATGTTAAACTCCTGTCAGGAGTAGGAAAGGCAGGCACCAAACTTTCTCTACATCCACCATGATTTGTGAAGGCCATACAATAACCCTTATATATAAGAATCCAGATGAAGCAGGAGAAAGCCACCATCTGGTCAGGCCTAGCTAATGATGAGGACTCGGACTAGAATATTTGACTACTTATTGTAGCAATATGAATCTTTGGCTTAGTTCCGGTTCTCTTCAGCTTTGGAAGGCTTTCTCCAGCACTTCTTGAGGCAAGTATATTCAAGTTCTTATTGATTGCTTATTGATTGAATTGGGTCTTTAAAAGAGCTCACTTGCCAGCTCATTGTGCTGCTCAGAAATCCAGAGTTTTGGCCCTCATGTCACCCAGCTGGCAGCAAAATGACCTTTTTTTCCACCCTGGTTCATCTAGTTCCACAGAACTGCCATTAGAATCTGGAAATCAAAGGTCTTATTAGGAATTTGAGAATAGAAAACTGAGCACAAATCATAGACTTTTAATAATGAGATGAAAATGATTATTGCAGTATGGTTGTAGGAACTGCTTACCCTCTATAAAAATGATAGCAATTCTGATTATTCTTTCAAAGTGAAGTTGAAGACCGTCCAAGTGCCCCAAATAGTGGTTAGGATTTTCCTGGGGGTGGAGAAAGAGACTCAATTTCCCAGAACATCTTTTGAAAACAAATGACATTTCACAACATGGTATAGCCATTGACATGTACTAATACATTGTTGCCTATAAAAGAGAATTTCTCTAGGACCTAGAGTGGTGGGCATGGGAAATCATTTCGATAGAGATCTCTTATGGCCATTATACATTTTAACTGATTTAAGACATATTTTAAAAATATGTATAACAGTATAATTGAAATGTAATTCCTACCTCATGAAATTGACCCATTTAGAGTGTACAATTCACTGGGGCTTAGTGTATTCTGAGTTGTACAACTTTACTGTAATCAAACTGAAACATTTTCATCACCCCAGAAAGAAACCCCACAGCCATTAGCATTCATTCTCTCTTTCCTCAACTTGCCATGCCAGCTAACCTACTTTCTGTCTCTATAGATTTGCCAGTTTTGAACATTTCATATAAATGCATTCATACAAAGGTAGTCCTTTATACTTATTTAGCATAATTTTTCAAGAAAAACTTTCTATGATTGAATGATAACCCATTATATGGATATACTACACTTTGATGATCCATTAGTTGATGAGACACTAGGGCTGGTTTCTTTTGTTGTTTATTAGAAGTTGTGGCTGTAAACATTTGTATACAACTTTTTATATAGACTTGTTTTTATTTCTCCCAGGTATATACCCAGTGGTAGAATTGCTGGGTCATACTGTAACTATGTTTAACAAGTTAAGAATTCCAGAGTGTTTCCAAAAACCTGGATCATTATACATTCCCATCAGTGGTGTTTAAAGATAGTGAATGCTTGACTTTACTTTCTAATGGGATGTTTCATGCACCTCTAATCCTCCCCATGTCTGGCAACCACTCATCTGTTCTTTGTGTCTGACGGTTTGTTTTTCTATTGTTGTTTTAGATTCCACATGTAAGTGAGATCATATGGTATTTCTTTCTCCATAAGATTTAATTCACTTACTATAATGCCCACAAGGTCTATCCTTGTTGACACAAATGGCAAGATTTCATTTTGAGTGTTAAATAATATTCCACTGTGAATATATATATAGACCCCATTTTCTTTTTCCATTTATCAATTGACACTTAGAATTTCTATTTTTAATTTTTTGAGGAACCTCTGTTTTCCAGAGTGGCTGCACCAGTTCACACCAATGGTGCATAAGCATTCTCTTTTCTGGACTTATTTACCAGAACTTCTTTTTAAGATTATCACTTCTCACCTTTCAAAATGACTATCTTACTGTTGCTTTGTTTTGCATTTTTCTAATGACTAATAAGGCCCAACACGTGTTCCCTTTTCATTTACCTGTTTGCCATCTATAGGTCTTCTTTAGAAACAGGTCTATTATGATCCTCTTGCCCACTTTTTAATCAGATTTTTTTTTTTTTTTGGCTACTCAGTTGTAGGAGTCGTTTATACATTTTAGATAATCCTTAGATAATCCTTTGTCACATTTATGATTTGCACATATTTTATTAATTGTGTTGATGGTTTCCAATTGTGTTGATGGTTTCCTTCACTATGCAGAAGCTTTTTAGTTTAAAAATCTGACTTCAGGGGCACCTGGGTGGCTCAGTCAGTTAGGTGTCTGACTTCGGCTCATGTCATGATCTCGCGGTTCATGAATTCAAGCCCCATGTTGGGCTCTGTGTTGACGGCTTGGAGCCTGCTTCAGATTCTGTGTCTCTCTCTCAAAAATAAATAAGGATTAAAAAAGAATTTAAAAATCTGACTTCAAAAGCAAACTAGTGGGACTATTTCAATTAATTGGCCATAGATGCCTGGATTTGTTTCTGAGCCGTCTATCCTGTTATACCTACCTATGTTATGTTTTCATGCCTACTTACACAACATCAAAGAATCAATGCTGCTGTCAAGCTTTCTATATTATAAGGTTATACCTTCCATAGATAGTGATTCCCCTTACAGATCTGGGCATGGAAAATGACAACATTGAGAGAATGGATTCTAATTTTGAAGTAAGTTCTCTGCATAAAATGTTATCCAACAGCAATGCACTGCTGTTGGTGAAAGCAAGACTCCATCTTTGCTGCAAACTTCATTGTTGTCTTGCCAGCCACCCACACCATCAGCATCCATCAACCTCGAAGCAAGACCCTCCACCAGCACAAAGATTAATATTCACTGAAAGCTCAGATGGTTAGAAATTTTAAAGTATTTTTGAATTATGTACATTTTTGACACATAAACTCATAGACACTGGGAAACCAAAAAATTCATCTGGCTTGCTCTATTGCAATGTTCACTTTAGCGAGGTGGTCTGGAATTGAACCGACAAGATCTCTGAGGTATGCCTCAGATTATGTCTGATGGCCACCTCCATCGGTCTTATGTAGCACAATGTATCAGAGTACCAATCATTATGATAGTTGTTTCACAGTCTACACTATAAGCTTTCACTATTGAAAAAATTAGAAAATTAACTAGATTTAGAGTATGGTTATTGATTAGCATAGAATTCCCAATTCAGCTGAAACCAAATAGTTGCAAGAGAGTGTCCAGGTTAGTAGTTCAAAGCCAGTTTTACCATTATAAACTAGGCAAATAAATGTTTCGGCAAAGAACTAGATAATTTTGTGCCTGTTTCCTTACCAGGAAATTATTTCAATACTAGCACCTACTTCACGGACAAAAGGAGGTGCAATATATCAAGTTCTTTGAATAGGACCGGTTATATGATAACCATTCAAATACTTAATTAATACTATTATCATAGCAGGGTTGGGTTCACTTGGCACTTTATATTTTCTCCTTTGAGCCTTGTGACTCTGAGCCTTTGAGCTCTGTAACTAAGTAAGGCAAATGTCAAAAGTAACCTGACAAAAACATGACTTGATGGTGAGGCTAGATTTCCCATCTTCTGACTGATAATGCATCTACCACTCACCATACCCTGGCACCCTCTTCTATAGAAGACTGTTGTAATATGGTGTTATTTTCCTGGTCAAGCCCCTGAGAGAATTCTGGCTCTTGGGATTTAGGTTCATTTTACTAACCTCAAGTTGTAAACCAGCATCAGGGTGTGTCTCAAAGCCCAGATTAAAGGAATCACATGTGACAAAAGCTTACACAGATTACTGTTTTATGAGTAATGTTTTATGAGACTGTCAAGTCCAGTGCATTCCCAAATGCCACTATTTAAGGAACCTAAGTATTAGCATGAGAGAACTCAATCTGTCCATAAAACCTTTGTGCCAAATTATGGGATTTTTTTCTCTAAGTTCAGTGAAATCTTAGCATCCTTACTTAGCACTGGGAAAATCCCCAATAGGATGCATAAAGTCCTACATCTTTGCAATAAACACATTGTTTAGATCCATACTGTTCTTCCTCATGCTCCTCTAAATCCAATCCTACAATTAATCACATCGTATTTTTACAATACTTAATGAGTGAAATTCAAGCTCAAAAATAGTCATTTAACTCCATAGTATCATAACTAAATTATAAGTTTTTCCAGAGAATTGCTTTTTATCTTTCAATATTACTTTTAAAAAGTATTCTGGGTTATTAAAATGTTTAGACATGGATGTAAAATATTAGTCTATTTTTTTCCTGCTTTGGTCTCAGGAGCTGAGATGAAATCAAATGATTTAATCATTCTGAATCCATGTGGCTCCTTTGAGATAGGGCCAGATGTAAGCAGAAGGATTTATAGGGCGTAAAATTCAGAATGGATTAGAAAAGCATTTTTGTGTCCAGCCCAATACATCCTAAATCAAAGTCCCCTGAATGGACTGGGGAGGTTGTCATGGCAACTAACAGGCAAGCTGAGCCCCTGGAATGTGAAGGCAAACAATAGAGTGTTAAGATTGTGTACAGAACTGTGGCTGCTTCTGCCCAGGTACAGTGACACATCGGTAGAAGTGTCCAACTGCCACCACCTTTTTTTGTACCTCCTGGCTATTCTGGCATCTCTTTGGGAATGTATCAGGTCCTTTCCCAGAGGTCAGTAAAAACACTGCTGCTGATAGATGACAGAAGCCCTAGGAAAATCAGCACCAACAGATAGATGCAATGGTATACAAAGCAGTGAAGGGCTAAGAGGACACAAAAATTTCTGAAAGGAGGTTGAAGCACATTTAAGGTAAATCCAGTGACTCCTTAGTGCCACCTTGTGTCCAGTTAGATGCTGAAAATTTACGCAAAGCCCACCCTCCCTCCTTTCCTGGGGACCCAGCAGGGCGGACACAGAAAGAGTCAGACCAGACCCTGGTGATGTTTGGTAGCCCCTATTGCAGGTTAAGGAAAACATGTAGGTTAAAAGCTTTGATAGAATCTGAAATGGGACAAGAAAGATATGCCAAATAACATCCATCTTAGAGAAGTTTTCAAGAAGCTACCTGGTGCCCAGGAGTTGGAAGGACATGTTGTGGCAGATCCTCGACGTTGCCCTAACTTCTGCAAAGAGATTTGTTGGTGTTCATTCAGCCGTGCTGGTAGCAAAAAAAAAAAAAAAAAAGGGAAAAATAAAATGGGAACACAGCCGTGAACAAAAGAATTTGATAGCAAGATGATAACATTTGTTCAAATTGCATCTTGGGCCCACCTCTTCTCTTTCACACAATCAACCAGCGAAAACCATCATCAAGTCCCATTTAGTTTTCAACAGAAGTGTAAAATGACCAAGCTGTGTTTCTCTTTGTTTCCTCCAGGGTTTGAATTTTTTGAAACAAGTGCCAAGGATAACATTAATGTCAAGCAGACATTTGAGCGTCTTGTGGATATCATCTGTGACAAAATGTCAGAGAGTTTGGAGACGGATCCGGCCATCACTGCCGCAAAGCAGAACACAAGACTCAAGGAAACCCCTCCTCCACCACAGCCCAACTGTGGTTGTTAATGTCCCCCACAAAGGCAGTTCTGCGGGGCGGGGGGGCACATCACCAACCAACAGCATTTATAAATGGTTGATTAACCTTCATTTATACTGCCTAATAATTATTTGAGGGAAATCTTTGATGTCAGTGGCTCATACATGCATTCAATTCGTGGGAGATTTCCTGTGTTAATATGTGGCAAATATGTGATCTCAAATTTGTAAGGACTATCCATCTATAAACATCTGGTATTTGCATGTAATTTGTTACTTGTCTTTGTAGGCTCTTTTTGTTTCATATTTCTTCTCAAGATTAAGCTACTGCTGGGACCTCAGACTGTAATTTCACTACAACTGACTTTTGTGCCACGGGTTCAAATTTGCAATTCACTTGTATGGATGATAAACAAGGAATTGTTTGTGTGTGTGGACAAGAGGAGATCTCAGGAGACCGTCATGGGTCTGGTTAGTTTACCGTTCAGGAAATGTGTCTGTTTTTCAGTGTTATTAATAACTGAGGAGACCATTGACTATAAAGAACTTAAAGTACTGTGTTTGAAACTCTCGCCAATTTTCTAAGACATTAAATCTAGTTCCAGTGTGAGAAGTAGAATTATTTAATAGGAACTAGATTTAAACAATCCTCTTAATTTAGTTGTTTAAATAATCAATGTCTCTAACCCAGGGTTACTGTTGCCACTGTATGTGCCCAACATTCTGAATAGTTGAGGGCACCAACAGCCTGAGAGGCATCTGGTTAAGGCATGATATGACAGTTGTTTTAACCAAGACAGGTAGGAATACCTGTAGCACTCAAAGGACTGAGTTCACCCCTATTTCCCTAATAACTGCCCCCCATTACACACAATCACCACCACTTTCTGAAACCATCACCAATGCTCAGAATCAAGCTCAAGTTGAAGCTTGTTAGAGCCCCTCTTCTCACAGGATAGAGGCTTGCTTCCCAAACCAGTGCCTTCTGTTCACACCTCAGCTACATTCTTGTACCTAATACAAGTAATTTAAACAATATCCCAATGGTTCAAAGATTGAGGAAAAGACCATGTTTATCTCTAGTCTTTTTCAATCCAGTTCTTCTTAATTCTAATGCATATCCCCATTCCCTATAGGAATAACAAGCATACAAATCTCACCAGCTCTTTTCATTGGGCACCAGAAGGAAATTGGCATCCTCAGCACATCCAATATTATTTGCAGTTTAGATGTTAGGAAGGCACAGATTGGCAGATGTAGAAGGACAGTTTCATTAGGTAGAGTCACTTTCCCCGTCTTTTGGTCGCTATGTTCAAGTTTTTTTTTTTCCCCTCTCTTCATTCACAGTTCCTGTAAAAGTATTGGGTGCAAGTCTTTTTAGCAAGGATACTGATAGATAAATTTGCCATTGGATAATAAATGTCTACAAGCTAAAGAACTAGGTCATATACATTATTAGTAAGAAAGTGAAAATTACAGAATACCTGTGGGATGTGTTAAGCCTATCAGTGTCATTTCTCACCTTGAGCTTCAGATCCACTAATTGGTAATAAATTTCCACCTTGGCACTCTAGATGGCAGGCCACAGCTTAGTAAAGACAAGAATGTCTTATTGGATTTTAATGGGGCAACAAGCTTCAAGAATTCCAGAAGTGACAGTGAAGGGAAAGAGAAGGGGAGTAGCAATCAAAACATATTTGTTTGCTACAGAAGCCTATTTGCATGATAGTGCACTATTTCTATTACCTGGACTAGAACATGGCCATGTTCAATGATAGAGCTGTTAGGTTCAGTTGTATAATCTAATACCAAGCAAGAAGGCAAGGAAAACTTGCCTCTCTCACAGCCCCATCCCATATACATATACAGATGTCCGGGACCTAAGTATGAAGTCCACATGGCTTTTACAAGGACCTGGCTATATGTATTATTTTAAAGGGGAGAGCAGAATCAGGGTCAGAAACGTAGAAGGTAAAGAGCTGAGTTTTACTTTTGTGTAAACCCCTTCTCTGAGAAACTGACTGAAATTGGCCCTAAGACCAAAAGACCAAGTCAGGAGCCTACTTCACAATGTCAGACATGACTAATTTGAACTACTTAGTTCAAAATTTGACTAATTTATGGCAGTCAGGGAAGCGGGATGCCCAAGTGTCATTGCCAAGGAATTGTGGATACTTTGTTTTCCAAAACTCATTTGAGGTGGGGCTTTCCTAATTCATTCTCTGTCCTGAAGCTCCCACCCAGGTGTGAGTTTCAATGAGAAGTTTCCAGGGGGGATTGTAACAGAGCTCAATGCTATGAAGCATTAGGAAGAGAGAATATTCTCTATTCCTAATTTTACTAACAGATTTTGGTTTTAAAATTAAATATTTTTTGTCATAAGAGGTAATGCTGGAGGATTCAACTATATTACTTAAAATTTTTAACACTAATTGCAATGTTTAACCTTTTTGCTGACAATACACACACACTCAGCCTCTTACATTCTCTCCATCCCTCACAAAAGCTTAATAGCCACAAATTGTTTTTAACGATGGCGTAAATTTGTATTTACAAGATCAAGATACCTTAAAAAGTACATAGTGTGTTCATTTAAGACATCCATCTTGTTGTATTTGATACAATTCAATTAGTGTTTCAAGTATGAATCTGTCTCTCTGATGCCCATCTTCTCACCCTCACCCCTGCCATTGCTTTGAGAAACAAACCTTGATTGTTGAGCAAATGCTTCCAAGAGCTTTGGTGTTGGCACATTCCTTTCCATTCTTAGTTCAAGTGCAAACCTGGACTGGAAAATTTTTCATCCAAATAGGTGTCCTCCAAGTGGATGGCATTTACATTTCGGAGGACATGAATGGATGAAGAAGGTGCATGATATTTCTCAAGTCCTAAGATGGCAGTTTAAATGTGGCATCCCATGTTTGGGGTCCTAAGAACAATTGAGTTAGGACAGTCCATCCCTTCTTTGCTGCTGCACCCCTCTCCAGCACAGCTTCTACTGCCTTGGTGAACTTTGCTGTAGGTTCTTCTAATTCCTGCTGAGGTTTACCTCAAGTCAGTATCCCTTTGCTGCCTGGTAAATAAGTGCTCAGATTATTATTTCTCAAGGGAACTAGGATGCCTTCAGTTGTAGCAGAAAACTGTAGCATCATTATGATAAATGTGAAGGATAAATTCTACAAAACTAAAACCTAACTTCAACAAGACACTCAAACACATGGTGAGCATGTATCTTTCACCTACTTAACTCTGATCCAGATTCATGATAGTCCTTTTGTTGATCACACCAGTCATTTTTCAGGGACCAATTTAAACCTCCAATTTTGACCAAGTCTATGCTGAAAATAGACTTTCACATATTCAATATTTTTTAAAGTAAAAATACTCCACTATTAAATGAACTTCCATAAAGCAACAGTAGTTTTGGAATGTGGTAGTCTGTTATCAGAGGTTCATCCTGATGGGCTTGGTCCACTGTGTGTCTTATTGCACAATGAGTATGTCTTATGCCATTCTCGGTTGACCATGTGGCACTTGTCAGACTATGTTTAAAATGGATCCAGACTCTACCAAGCCATCTTAAGGCTGAGGTAGTAGCTGCATGTGAAAAACTGTGACCTAAATCTTATCTTCAAGTCATGACTAAAACCCTTTGAGACCAAAAAGTGTTTGTGAATAGTTTTCATATACTATTAGAATTCTCAATCAGGTATTTCTGGTGTGGTATATTTAGGAAGTGGTCTTTCTGTCTGAAGAAACTTTAAGTTAGAGAGTTTGCATGACTGGTAACTCAAACTCTTTGTTCATTTGTGTGTATACTCAGAGTGCTATGTCAGGGTAGCATGTGAGCAACTTGACCCATGTGGCCTTTCTATTCACCCCCCTGGAAGATATAACCTCTGCAGCACTGCTTTGCTTTGCCTGTTTGTGTATACTACTTGTGCTTGAGTAGTGCACCAGTAAAATGAAGAAGCCTTTCCAACAAACTGAACTGGTAGGGTCAGTTTTCTGGATTGCTTTGTATTTTAAGTGATTTTTGACCAAAGCAACATAAACCTGTTTTCTATTCTGGAATGAATTAAGACAAATTGGGTCAAAGATGAAATTTATGACCAGGAAAAAAAAAAAAAAACAACAAACCTCTTTCTCCCTATGATGCACTTAAAGGGCTCTAGATTCTAGAAATACAGTATCCCCTAAGGGTGCAAAAACAGGTCTGGGATATTTATTTAAAATAATATGTATGTATTATTAGCATTTCATAAGTAAATGTTTTTTTTTTCTTAAAAACCTTTACAGAAATGTTGGACACTCCAATCAACTAATTCCCTTTGGTAGATTAAAATATTTACACTTAGGCCACTTCCAACACACACACGCACACGTGCACGCACACACACACACGCACACATACAGATACCTTTTATATGAAGGGAAATTTTCATATATGGTGCTTTCTCAGTGCTGGGGAAAAGGGAGCTTCTGCTGTTTTCCAACTGTAACTCACATGTTGTTTAAAAAGGTCTACACAATAGATTCTTTGTGCTGATTTGTGTGTTTGTGCACATAATTTCCAGTAAGAATAGAGAAAAATATGTTTTGCCAACATCCTAGAGAAAAATAATTTCCAAACTTCTGT